CTTGATGGGGTACTCTTGCGACTTTGTGACGGCTATCCCCTCCAACGGTGTGCATTGCGCGCGCTCTTCTGCAGTCAACTGGTGGCCAAGAGCTTGGGCGATATAGGGGCTGTTGGTCGCGAACTGGTAAGTCTTGATGATCTTGTTGCCTCGTGGGTCAACAGCACCAAAGTATCCAGCATCACATTTGACCAGCATGAGGCCAAAATCACTGATCATATTGGTGACTGAGGGTTCGGACCACAGCCTGCTTCGTAGAGGATTCTCCAAAGCGATGAGTCGCCCTTCTCGCAGTTGTTGACGTAGTCGTGCGACCACCCACTCCAGAAGAGGTCGTTGAAGTTCACGAAGCTCCCATAGTTCCTCAAGCCGTTGGCTGTAGTTGAGGTTTTCGTTCATGATGCACTGTAACGTGCGTGGGAAGCCAACCAAAAGGAGAAGAGGCTTGAAGGTGTCCTGGGCGAACTTCACAATCTGTTGAGCACTTCGGTTGGAGAGGTCGTACCCGTCATTCTTGTCGAACGGTTGTAGTGCACTGAGTCCATACTGCCTTGCCAGTCGCGTTGGCAGGGCAATGCCAGCAAAAAGTTCCATGAGGTCAATCTTGAAGTTCTTCTCTACGTCGCCTGGCAGGTTGTTGATGGCACCCTTCTCGATCTCCAGGATGTGGACTTCTTTGTTAATCCCGCCAATCAGGCGTTTTCTTCTTCCAGGGGCGAGAGGCTCCCATCCGAGTGGATGGCAATCACCGGAAGTCCCTCTGCTTCTTGCACCCATTGGTACATGTGCTTGCCCTTCATATTCTGGTCCACGTCCTGCATCTCGTCGGCCTTCCTGAGTCCATGGCCGGCCGCTGATGATGTCATTGAAGATGGACGAGCTCGGCGCCAATCCTCCGTCATTGCTGGAGGTCGAACTCGAAGCCATTCGTCCTTGCTGACCTCGACCATCCGGATGGAAGGGTTTCCAGGAACCGTTGTCGGCATGGGGCCCTCGGATTGTGGTGCCTGCAGCGGATAAGGCGTCTGCGACGACGCTGCTGCTTGAGGTAGATGATCCATGTAGTACTGAACCATGGTCGGGCCCGAGGACATTGCTGGTGGCTTGATGCTCCCATCCGTTGTGGTCAAGAAAGATGGCAGCGGTAGCGAGTAGTTGGATGAGCCACCATGCAGTCTCCAGCCGTCTTCCACCCACTTCCATCGTGCCTGACACGTTTGGCACGTTGCGAAGCTGCCGTGGCGGTTGCCGTGGCGTTTGAAGGTCGGGTGGCTGCAACTTTCCATCTGCCTTTGGCGATACTCCTTGGCTGCGGCCGCATTGCTTGTCGCTGGCTTGTTCTTGGTCTTTGGCCGAGCCTTTGCCTTTGAGGAAGCTCCCAAAGGCGACTTGCTGTCCTTGGTCTCGATCTCGGAGTCGTCCTTGTCCGCGAGGAGGTTGAGGCGAGAAGCCGTGTGAAGTGTCATCCACACTTGTTGAACCGTCTGGAGGAGGCGGCTCACCAAATGGCGCCATCGATCCACACGCCTCTGGTCGCCGAGGTGCATAGAGGAGTCCTAGAGGAGGTTCGGACTCGTCGGAAGTTGAGGCTTGAGCAACCTGAACTGAAGATGGCGGCAAATTGACTTCGGGGTCATGCAGGCCACACGAAGTGATCTTTGCCCAAACTCTCAACCGATCAGGTCGTGAAGGAAACTTGGTGATGTTCACTGCCAAATGACGTCCGACGGTTGCGAGGGGCACCACACAATCCAGTTTGCTAAAAAACACTTCATGCCGAGTCAAATCAATGATCGCTCCGAGCTTGTTCAACATGCTGAGGCTACCAAGGAACGGGATCACCGCATCCAAAACAAACGTACCCAAAACTAAGCAGTGCGCACCTTCGAATGCTGAAGGTAGCATGGCCAAGGTGTTGGCAGTGACTGGAGCACCTGAACCAAATTGAAAAATCTCTTCACGTGTGAGCTCATAGGGGTGCAAGTGAAAGGAACTGCGAAGAAGTTGGGCGTGTTCTTTGTACCAATCAAAACCACAACACGATCTCTGGCAGGCCGTGTCAATCACCATAAACCCCTTGGCTTCCGTGGCAGCTATCAAACAAGGTTGAATGACGTGGTTCATGAGGACAAACTGGGTATTGGAGGGTTCGTCATCGGGGAGGTACTCGGTCTCATGGTCCACCCCATTGCCATAGGAGACTGTCAGCACCTTTTTGCTTCCGCTGAACGATGAGGAACTGCCTTTGGAGCTCTTGCCATTCCCCTTCGAGGAATTCTTGCCCTTGCCGCCTTTTGCGAAAGAAGCTCCATCGGGTGCTCCACGACATTCAGGGTCGCCACTCCAGTGGCCCATTTCACCACAAACCGCACAGCAGCTTGTTCGCTTGCGCTCAGCGACTGACTTGCTTGGCTGGCCAGTCCATTTGCGGCCTAAAGTGATGGCTGCAAGCTTCTTTGCTGTCACGGTGAGGACCTGGGTGAGGTTGTCAACTTCCTCTTGCCCTTCTGGTTCTGCTGTTTGGTCATCTGGAGGGAGATCATCTTGATCTTCAAAAGTCTCTTCTGGCTCGATGTCGGGGTTCTCCTCCTCAATCACTCCAAGATCGTCGCCACCGGCGTCGTCTTCAGGGTCTGGGGCGTCATCGCCCTCAGTGGTGGTTTGGAGAACTCTTTTGGTGAACTTGCCAGATCCCTTACGAGCTTGTCCAAAACCTTGTCCGCCTTGTTGGGACTGTCCAAACGGTTTGCCTCCTCCTTTGCCATGGCCGTGGCCTTTGCCTGCAGGTCTGAACTGTTGTTGGCCATGAACAAACAAGGGAGGCGGAGCTCTATGTTCAGGGTATTGCATGAGGAGCGCACTCTTGATGGAGTCATAGTCCAATCGTTGGCCTGTGCCAACGAGCACAAGCCTTTGAGCTTCTGGGGCCAATTTGGCTCTATCCAACAACCTACTTCCTCTGCTCTCCTGGTCGTAGGTGAGCGAGACGTCGATGCCAACCGAACGAAGAGAAGCTTCACATCTTCTGTATCTGTTCGTGTAGCTGCGCAAACTCTCATTGGCATAGCGTGCAATCTGTTCATACTCAAAAAGAAATTGTCTTTTGATGTAAACTGGTTTCTCCTGGAAGGGACCTCTAAGTTGGTCGAGCACATACTGCACGCCGTCCTTGCTGTACACCTTCTCGATGTCGCAGAACTCGAGCTCAGCTTCTGCATCACCTCGAAGTGAGGTGTACAGCGCTAGTCCTGCTTCAGCACTGCTCATGTAATGCTTTGCCTGGAGGGCCCAGACATTCACCTTCTTCTCAAAGCGCTCAAAGGCTCTGACATCACCACTGGTGTAGTGCCAAGCAGGTGGTTGAGGTGGGGCACCACCTCGGTACTTGACACCTGGTTGCATGCCCTTCAACGATGTCCAGCTTTGATCAGAACTGGAGCTATTTGACCTCTGTGCATTGGGCCGTTGTTGAGCTTCAGGTCGGCGGTCATCGAGAAGTCGCTGAAGTGCGTGAAGGAAAGCAGCTGCTGGATCTTGGTTCTCATTGCCAACTGGTGGATTGTTGGCCTGACCTTCACCTTGAGGTAGTCGTCGTCGACCCATGATCCGTGGTCCTTGCCGTCCGGGCCGTCCGAGAGGATCACCGGGTCGTACTCCGGGGTGTAGCGGGGTTCTCTGGCTTTCATTTCCGCCATCGGATGGATCTACAGAGGGATCATCGGTTCGTATCTCTTCCTCCCCCGGCTCATGGCCTTCGTCACCATCATCTGGTTCAGGGTCATCTCCGCCTCGATGACGACGGCGTCGTCGCCGGCGAGGTTGAGCCGCCGTAGAGGTCGATGAAGATGCTCCTGAGGTGTGGTGTTCTGAGGGAGTCTCTCTGTGAGCAGGAGGTGAGGCTGTGTGAGGAATATACATCCATGTCCCATGTTCCGTTTGTAGTCGACTAGGTCGGTCGGGCTTGTAGAATTCATCGCAGCCACATAGGCTGCACTTCCATGTCTCATGTGCGCTGGACCACATGTGCTCCTGGCTGTTGCAATTCAGGCATAGCCATGAGCTGTCATCCTCATTGTCTGGTACCCTCTGAGGTGCGGGGTAATGGGCATAGCCTTCATGTACATGAAGGTGTCCCGGTTGAGGCCATTGGGGAACGAAGCCTTCAGGTACATGTGGGGGTCCAGCAGGAGGCCGTAGAGGTCCGAGAGAAGGTCCATGGAAGTCATGAGGTAGGTGCCCAAAGGGTGTTGGAAACATCAAAGGTCTCACAAACTCCGGTGGGCCAGGTCTGTCGAAGGTCAACCTGGGGTCCGGTCCATTTGCCATTCCGCCCAAGGGACCATGTGGTAGTCCTCCATGTCCAGCCGCTAGCCTTCCTGAGGAGCTCGAAGATCCATCCTCAGGGCGCAGGGTCACGTTGGGCTCCTCGGCATGGGGCATGTCCTCACCCAGCGAAGAAGTTCGAAGCTGGGGAGACCACACACCGCTCCACGCCGGCATACAAAGAAGAAGGCTCCCTGGAACGCGGCTCCGGTGCCAACTCGTGCGAATCTATCGCACAGCAAGAAAGCTTGAAGCGTCGCGGCGCTTTTCCATCGCAAAACAACGAGCTCAAGGGATCCGCTTCGGATCGGTTTGGGGAGTCAATGGCCATCGAACATGCCAGTGCGCAACGCTCCAAATGCCTCAGTCAGAGAAAAATTGACACAAGAGGTACGTGGATCTGCACGATGCCCGTGACTTGCCCCAACTCCAAAACCATTAAGGCGCGCGAAACGCAAACACTATGCCCATCTATGCCCCAACTCCATCTTCAATCAAAGAGGGAGGATGGGACCTGTGAGCCATGCTACGGTTGAAATCGCTCCAGCCTGAAGGATGTTTACGTCTAGTTTGTTTTGCAGGACCTTTGGCCCTTCTTATTAATAGTGCTCCAGCTCCTGGTCCTTTCAAAACTCGGCATGAAAACCAATGAAAACCGTGTCTCTGGGGTCCCCTGCCGCCTGATCCGCTTGTCTCTTCTGCTCTCTAATGGAAGGCTGCGCACCCCGCGCAACCCGCTGGAACTTACCATGATCCTCAGCGGTCCGCAAGCGTCCGAAATGCTCTTCAAAAATAAAGACAACGGTTTTGTGATGTGTTTCTTAACTTATTGTTCTTGTTTGTTATTTTCTAGGCCCGTCCAAAGCGTTTCCAAGCGGCATCGTCTTCTGGCACCTGGAGACGGAGCGGAGAAGTCTGTCAGGCAAAAGCATGTTGTTTGTTCTCTTTTCTCAGTCGGCCTTTTCAAATGATCCTGAGGGTCACTGTAGGTCGGGCAAGCAATGTCAAAATCTCTATTTCTCCTGCTGTGTACAGCTTGGCTTCATGGATTATGAGTGGTGACAAAATCACATCGTTCCGGTGCAAACTCACATTGAAACTCCATGTCCATCCATGTCCTGTCATTCCTGTGGTCATCTGTGGTCGCACCCTCCGTGGTCACTTGCCCCCCAGCCTCCGGTACCTCGAGGTCACCGTGTCTTTCAGTGTCCTGCCGTTTCGTCAAGAAATCTTGGCGCTTCCCCTTCCTACAGATCCAGTGAAAGTGGAAGAATCCTGTGAATCGGACAGTTTGAAATGGCACAGGGAATCGCAATATCATTTTCTCTGGTTTCGTTCATACTCCCCTACTGTAACAATTCGCTGGCGGATACTACTATCTCAGGTCATTGTTCGAGTCATACATAGACGGCTGATGCGGTTGGCACTTTCCACACTTCAACTCCAAGTCATGGCCGGTAGCCACGGTAGCCTGGTCCTTCTCCAAATTTTGTAAGAAGGCGTTCTGGCGCAAGGTCGGAGCCCGATGGCATCAAAAAGCGAGCAGTTCACTGTTCATTCAGTCTTTCTCTGTGGTCTTTGCATGGCACTGGTGGAATGTTAAAAAAGTTTAAAAATGAAGCACGAGTCACTTTTGCCTGGAGGTTGCATTCATCCCATAGACCGGCTTCTTCTTTCATGGCCTCAGTGGCGTTCATTTCGGTGTTTGTGTGGTCACACAACTGTCCCACCAAAACAATCGGAACGTCTACTCTCCGTGTTTCAAAGATCATGGAAGAAGGTTTTGCGCAGCAGTGTGCAAGAGCAGTTCTCTATCTTGTCTTAGAAGTACTCTTGAGAGGATACTTCTACAACCAAGGTGCTGCAACTTACGGGGAATGTTCTTTTTGGAAATTCAAGACAGTCCCAAGCATCCCTGCCAAAATTTGAGTTGCTAAAAGGCTGGCAATCCCGAGGCTCTTGGCACCTTAGTCGAGGCACACGTGGAACTGAACAGCTACGACGCGGGTATCACATTGGGGCCTGTCCATCATCTATTTACATCAAAGCCATAGAAACATGTCGCGAGCGAAAGGATTTTCATACAGCACTAGACTGCAAGCGGAGTCAGGAAAGGAAGGCCACACAACCGAACAAGTTCAAAGGCACATCCGCCTTTGAGTCGTAGTTCTGGTGTTTGAAACCTAGGCTGTTCTAGAAACCTAGGCTTTTCTCGGCGTAGCGATGCAGTCGTGGTTCCTGTCCACAGAAGAAGGTCGTCGGGAAAATCCGATCAAATCTGAAGCGCAGTTGAGATGCCGTCGCCTTTCGAGCCTTGGTTGATCACACGATGCAGCATGCAATGCATGCGAGATGACGCATGCACCCATGCAGCAACGCAGCAAGGCACCCGTTTCAAGCGAGTGTTCCTGTGCCAGGATTGTTAATTAATCCGCTCCAAAAATAGTTGGGTGAAGTAATATGGTTTGAAACTTATTGTATTTTGCTATGTATTTGTAGTGGAGTGTTTATATTTCTTGGTCGTCTAGGGTTTTCTGGCACTTGCACTTTGTGAGTATGGATCCACTTAGCTAATACTTACGGCACTTCGGGGTTCAAGTTTGACCATACTTGCAACTCTTGGTGAATTTGGGCTCACATTTGGTGGGCAATGATTTCATGATTGGCGCCAAAAACTAGTCCTCTTTCAAGCAACCATACTTGAATGGTAGGAACCTTTTCGTCAGCACCGGCCTTAGATGCCTTCGAGAGGTTTTTACAATCCAAATGGGGTGTGCTTTGCCCATATTTGCATTCGTAGCTTGTGCTTGTTTCACTTGTGTACAAAGGTGTTGGTTTTTCCGTACGTGTCACACTTGACCTAGCCATGCCCACCACACCCACTCCACCTGTGAGTAAGGGGTAGTTAGTGGGAGCGTTGAACCACAAGTGAGCGCATCCAAATGGGGTGGTGTTATTCATCACTTAGTGGAGCATCGTGCATTTGATGCTGAGGGTTTCCAGTGCCCAAGAATATGAAAGACCTACCTTCCCGGCATGTGGTGGAACGTGTCCCATCCAGGAACTGCACCACCCCGAAGGATCACAAAGACCCCAATGACTACTGTTTCTCTGAGTGTTGTCTTGGCCTGTTGAAGTGGGCTGACTCACGACTGGTGGGCTCTGGAATGACTAGCACGAATAAAATCGGAAAGCGCCTGAGAAGTAAACACCTAGAGCCACGTCACCCAAGCTGCAAGAAGCGATGTGAAAGTCTCTCACACTCCAGCACAGACCCCCTGATAATACCCACTTCGTTCGCAAGATGAACTTAAATGTTTGAAAATGCATCATCTGCCGCATCTTCCTTTGTCAAGGGTCTTATCGCCAGAACCAGCTCTTCGAAGGTGCAATCAAGGCACAAATGGGCACCAACAAAAACTAACAACTCATCCTCAAGCCCTTTTCTTGAAAATTTTGGTGCTAGAACTTTTTCAGAGGTTGCCCCGAGACGGCCCTTCGATCAATTTGCGGGGGCACCAACCAAGAATCTTCGACTCTCTGTAAATCACATGTCTTTCCATACCTGCATCGACATTCATCTCAAGCAGCAGCCAAAGCCCCCACGTGCACAAGCCGCCCAAAAACACGCAGCTTCACCAACTTGTGCGTCCAAAAGTACCGTATATTACGCTACTGTTCATCGAACTCCACAAAGCACCGCTCTGCGCGCACTTTTGACCACCTCACCCTACAAAAACACCGCTATCTACGATACCGCAGCCTCTTTCCTGCATGGCTTCACTCAACCAGCAAACACGAGAAATGCATAAACTCAAACTCAAACCGACAAATTTTGCCACAGCACTCCAAAGAAAACGCTGCCATGGCCAGTTGATGATGCAAAAGATGCTAGTCGGAGCTGCTGTGGCATCACTCGCATCATCAGGGCGGTCGCAGGGGTATGTTTTGGCTACGCAGTTCTTTTTCGCTCTGCCCCAGCAGGCTCTGGGTTCATCCTTCCCACCACCCCACCACCCCCCCCACACTCAGGCATCTTCGCGGTCACGTAGATCGGCTCTTGCTTCAGTTGACTTTTTGTGCCTTTTATTGTTTTGTATTGTTTGGTCCAACACGTTCAAGCCTACCTGCTTCATGATGCTTGAACTCACCTGGCAGAACTTACACTCTAGTGTTCACCAAGTCACACTCCCAGTCACGGCAGTTGCTTTCGGCGGGGTGGGGAGACTGCGAAGTGACAGGGTCCAACTTGCCGACGAGAGAAGCCAGAAGGGCTATAAATACATAAGAACAAACCAACAATACAACGGGCGCACCTACAGTATTATTTTGCTCACATCAACTGGGTGGAGAATGGTGGAGATCATTCATGAAGCACCTGTCGAGGAGATAACAGTCGAGGAGATAACTTCATGACTCCTTCTCAAACCAACGGAAATCGAGTGGTCGAACGTTTAGAGGACCCCCCTGGTGGTTGAAGCCAAACCGATTCACCAACGATCGCTTCCAGAAGGCGCATGGGTGAAGCAGCATCCACATGACCCAAAGAGAGCATCTTGAGCGCCAGCTGTTGGTCCTTGACTGCAAACAACTTCGGTGTCTGACACATTGGTGAGAAGAAATGGATGTTCTGGTGCAACCTTATGTGCAATAGAGCACAGGGGAGAGCTAGGCTTCATACCCAGACTGTGGTTGTATACATATAGAGAGAGAGAGAGACATCTCCCACACTTGCACCCGGATGGTCAAAAGAGGGTGTTTGTGTGTGTATATGTGTGTGGCAGATTGTGGCAGTCACAAACTAAGTGAAACGAATGAAGGAAAGAAGAAGTTTTCGGCACTGCCTCGTCCTGCCTCCAAAAGCAGCATAGTCAGCCGTAAGGCGTAAGGGCTTGGGAATGGAAATCTCTACAGCATGAAAGCAGCTGAGGTGGTCGGTTCTGCAGCCCAGGTTCACCAAGTGGCAAAGACAGCATGTCCAGAAGCGTCTGATAAACAAACCTCGCAACTCCAGAAGCGTTACTTTCTCAATCTCCAGCCAGTCGGACAGGAATTGGGGGGGAATGTTTCGCAGATTCTTCATGGAGGTCGAATCCTTCTAAGCAAACACCCAATTAAGCCCAGAGTCGGCAGAAATCGTTCGCTCAACATGCTCAACAGCCTCATCATCTCAACCAGCCTCAGCAAAATAACGGATGCAAAATGGCAAGGTATCCTCGGATCAAGGAGCGACATACATTCTCACTTTGGAATGCAATAGAATCCGACTTGTAAATGGAAAAAATGCGCTTAGGTTGGAGACCTGGCGCTTAGGTTGGAGGCCATCGCTAGTAGGTTGGAGGCCATCACTAGTAGGTTGGAGGCCCTCGCTAGTAGGTTGGAGGCCATCGCTCTTAGGTTGGAGGCCATGGCTCTTAGGTTGGAGGCCCTAACTAGTAGGTTGGAGGCCATCGCTACTAAGTTCGAGGCCATGGCTATTAGGTTGGAGGCCATCACTAGAAGCTTGGAGGCCATCGCTACTAGGTTCGAGGCCATGTCTATTAGGTTGGAGGCCATCGCTAGTAGGTTGGAGGGCATCGCTAGTAGGTTGGAGGCCATCGCTACTAGGTTGGAGGCCGTAGGTTGGAGGCCATCGCTCTTAGGTTGGAGGCCATCGCTCTTAGGTTGGAGGTCATACCTCTTAGGTTGGAGGCCATCGCTCTTAGGTTGGAGGTCATCCCTCTTAGGTTGCAGCCCATCGCTCTTAGGCTGGAGGCCATCACTAGTAGTAGGTTCGAGGCCATCGCTAGTAGGTTCGAGGCCATCCCTAGTAGGTTGGAGGTCATCGCTAGTAGGTTGGAGGCCATCGCTATTAGGGAGATCGCTCTTAGAAGATACTTGTGAAATGTCTGACATTTGCTTGTCGGTTTTGTGACTCTCGGGAATCGCGGCCTCTCCGCCTCTTCGAGTGGCACGTCAGCAGCTTTCGCAAGGTTGATTGCATACCTTACATTAAAAAAGATCTTCCCTTCTCTTGCGGTCTCAAAGAGAAAATGTACTCAGTGATCTGATCAAAAATAGTTTTGTCCTTTTCGGGCCCTTCGATACCTGAAGCCTCAGGCACTACTATTCCACATTCGTGCATTGTGTCCTTACTTTTGAAATTGATTGAAATTGAATTAATGGCCTGGTATGCATGTCACTCGGCTGTGAAGCTTTTCGATTGAAACGGGCCATTGGGAAGAGAGAGCACCCGATTCTTGCCCAGCTGCTCTGCCACAGAGAGCTTCGGCGTCTCGATTGGCTGCTGGCTGATCTGAGACAAGGCAAAAGAAAAATCAAACTGTCGAAAGAAATAGCTTTAAACTGGTTTCAAAGTCAAGATTTTGTGTGAGAACGATGAACAAAAATGCCACAAAGAGAGGGAAGTTTCCTCTGTGCCTCCAGCGCCGCCTTTCGTGCTTCCTCTCGCACATCTTGAGCTGCCTCATGGGATGCTCGTGACAAAGTTGGACCAGGTCGTCAAATCCGTGACCAAAGCAGACCGACCGGACGAACGCGTTTTCGTCGCCTTTCGAATGTCGCTCGTCATGTTCAACTTCATCATGGCCTTGGCCATCTTTGTCCTGGCCGGCATTGGCCATCTAAAGCCCCCAGACTCAGTGGCACTGCGTAGTCGCAGCGTATGCGCAGTAAGACTCAGTTGAGGACTTGCAAAGGCCAGTTAAACCGCTCGATCTGAAATTACAACCAATGAACAGCATCGAACAACTGGCCTGCGGAAAGCATCAGCGTCATCATCCTCCAGCGCTTCGTTTGCAATACATGGTTGTGGTACATTCATGGCAAATCATGGCAGTTTTGTCGAGGTCATTCTTCATTCTGCACGCGCGCGAATTGCAAAATATGGCAAAATACAAGGTTTGTCAAACGTTCTGTTCAAGGACAGAAGTTGGAGAATAGCTGGAGCACATGTTGTGAAGCCCTAGCCGCCATACAGAACACTGTGGACGGTTTCGGCAGAGATCAGCCTGTTGGACATCATCGGTCTCAGTCTCAGAATCCTGGCCAATCGACATACTTGAATGCCCGCAATTTTGGTCTTTCTCACAACCCCAACAGCAAAGTGGTGGCTACAACAGCTACGATACCTACCCAGCCCATTCAACTTGGCTTCTGTGGCAAGGTTTCACGACATCTGAGGCTTGCATCTCCAACAAAGATCCTTTAAGGAGGAGGCCATCGCTACTAGTCTGGAGGCCATTGCTGTTATGTTGGAGGCCGCTAATAGAAACTTCAACTTAGTTTCCCGCATCCGAGTTGAGCTCGTGTGGCCGGCGCCGTTCCAGTGCACCAGAGTTGTGATGTTCTGAGTTTCGGCCTGTCAAGGTCAATGGCGACGTCCCGAAGGACGGGCAAAAGCGGCTCACCTTGCTCCGTTCGTAGCGATGCCCATTGTTCCTAGTAGCGAACATTGCTCCTAGTAGTAAGGCCAGGAGCCCCTAGTAGCGTCCGTGCTCCTAGTAGCGATGCCCTTTGCTCCTAGTACAAAAAAAAGAAACTTCTAGCTAATATCGATGGCCTTCAACAATCCCTCTCCTTCCGCTTTGAGTGGCAAACACCCCATACCCTCCTCTCTTCCAACGCTTCCCACACAGCGTAAGCAAACTGCGGCGCGACAAAAATGGAGACACCAAGTGGACTGTGGATCTAAGTGGTCACCATCTGAAATGGACATATGAAAACGTGAAAACTATATGACAACAAAAATGCCAAGCCGTTTTATCGAAAGTCGAGGGAAGGAACCCTCCTTTGGTTTCTTCTTGCGCGAGGATCGATGAAACCTCTTTTGGTGATAGCTTTCAACCATAAATCCACAATCGACATCATGCGACCTGGTCTTGGATAGATTTCATATGATTTCATCCATTGCCATTGCCGCTGCCCAGCCTGGATGACGAGTTGCATGCCCTTCATGCTCTCCATGATCCTGATGATGCAGCAAACAGGTTGACTCGGGAGAAGAACCAACAAAGTCATTCTTCAGATTCCGGATCGAAAGGTGAAGAAAACCAACCCGCTCTTTAAACCTTAATAAACCAAACCACTTACTCAGGATCATGCAAAAGGGCTCAATCAATCACTGTTTGAAAAGAACATGGTACAGCAAGGCAGGCACGGCGAGGGTCAGTTCCTTTGAGAATGTTTCAGGGGTGCACGATGCTACACGTCTCACTTCCCACGCCTGATGGGCCACGATCTCAATCTCTAACTCTGAAGGCTCGTGAGGGACTCCAGGAGGGACACTGACGTCTGACCTCTCATCACCTACCAATGACGAATGACGCCGTTGGTCGCTCCATCTACAGCACCGCGCAGAACGACAGGGCTCACGTCGTATTACATTTCTGGCAAAGACTGAAAAATGAAAAAAAATCTCGCGCCTAGTACACGCGAGAGTTTGAGGACTCACATATTGTTCAGCGTTTGGGTTGTCCAACTTCCCGGCCTTGATGGCTGTTTTTGGATGCTGGACGAATATGCGCGCTATCCTCCAGCATGTTCACCTCATCACTTGGAGCAACTGAGAATCGACGTTGACCGATCCAGAACCCATAATAAGGAATGGCAAGCATTATGAAAGCAAGCTAAAGTTTGGGTTCCGGGTTTCCGGTTCCCGGAATGGTGTTTCTGGTTCCCGTGGTGCTTCTTTTCCTGGATTTGGTTTTTTGGTTCCCGCACGTCGGGCGGTGTTTCCGGTTCCCGCTTGGGAGGTTTTGTGGTTCCCGCTTAGGTGTTTTCAGCGGCTGGAATGGTGTTTCTGGTGGCCGGGAATGTTTCCGGCACCTGGAAAGGCGTTTTTGGTTCCCGCAGGAGAAATATAGAGAAAAGGTGTTTTTGGTTCCCGCCGGCGACAACACGGTCGGCTGCACCACTTGTAACGTTGTGACGCGGCAGAACGCACGGTGGAGCATTCGAGACGTTGCAGTGCAACGAACGGGTCAGCTTCGATATGAAACAGAAAAGCAGAAAACAAGAGCAGTGGAAATTGATGGTATCGGTGGCTTTGCGAAACTGTATGCGGAGATATACAAGAAATACGAAGACAGTGTCACAGAAAAGTGTAACAACGAGCTGACGTAGAAACAGTGTTGGTTGTAAGGTCTGATCGCGGCAGCGGATCTTTTCAGCACACCAGCGGATTCTCAAAACGCCGGTCAAGGAAGGGAGCACACCTGAGAGCAAAAAGCAAACCACAGCGATCCCTTAGAACAAGCTGCCTTGCAGGAACAAAGCTTCTGTCTGGACTTTGTTTGCCTCCCGCTGTTCAATTTGGACCATGCAGCCGAGCAAGCAACCAGCAAACCACATCTGGTGTCTGAGGTCAACCCCTGCGGAACCACCAAAGCTGCAAGCAACAAGCCTGCCACAGTGATCCCTGAGAAAAAATGGTTTGCAAGCTGCGATAGACAGCAAGCCAGAACGATCCCCTAGAAAAACCTGCGTTGCAAGGACAAAGCTGCTGTCTAGACCTTGTTTGCATTGCAGGGGAGGCGCTGCGCCCTCCCCCGCACCCCCCTCCCGCTTCTCAAATTGGACCATGCAACCAAGCAAGCAACCAGAAAACCGCATCTGGTCTCTCAGGTCCACCCCGGGCACAACCACCAAAGTTGCAAGCAAAAAGCAAACCACAGTGATCCCTTAGAAAAACCTGCCTTGCAGGAACAAAGCTGCTGTCTAGACTTTGCTTGCATTGCGGGGGAGGCGCTGCGCCCTCCCCCACACCCCCTCCCGCTGTTTAATTTGGACCGTGCAACCGAGCAAGCAACCAGCAAACCACATCTGGTGTCTGAGGTCAACCCCTGCGGAACCACCAAAGCTGCAAGCAACAAGCCTGCCACAGTGATCCCTGAGAAAAAACTGTTTTGCAAGCTGCGATAGACAGCAAGCCAGAATGATCCCCTAGAAAAACCTGCGTCGCAAGGACAAAGCTGCTGTCTAGACTTTGTTTGCATTGCAGGGGGGGCGCTGCGCCCTCCCCCGCACCCCCCTCCCGCTTTTCATCTGGACCATGCAACCGAGCAAGCAACCAGCAAACCACATCTGGCGCTTTGTCCTCCCCCGCACCCCCCTCCCGCTTTTGAATTGGGGACATGCAACCGAGCAAGCAACCAGCAAACCACATCTGGCGCTTTGTCCTCCCCCGCTCCCGCTTTTTAATTGGGGACATGCAACCGAGCAAGCAACCAGCAAACCACCAACGCTGTATATATGTATATAAAGACTATATTCAAACTCTTATATATGTACCTAACTTATTAGCACCTGGGTGTGAGTTTTGTGTTCACGGTTTCACGCAAAAGGCCGCGGACGACCACTCGGTAAAGGACCTCAGGATGGGAACCCAAAACACCGCTGGGAACTGGAAATACCCGGCGGGAACCCAAAAACCGATTCCAGGAACCAGAAACACATTCCGGGAGCTGGAAACACCCAACCCCTAAAGTTTGCTCTCGTTTTGGGTCAACACCTCCCAAATCCATGACCATTCGGCATTGATCTCGTTTCGTCTTGTTTCCGAACCTGTCGTTCCAGCGCAGTTAAAGCCTGCGCGCAAAGCAGCTGTTCAGGACGAAATGATGTCACACTGCGACTGACTGTGAAAACTTGAAATTACCTAGTGGAGGCCATCGCTACTAGGTGGAGGCCATGGCTACTAGAAAAACAAAAGTATTGCCTTATACTATATGTTCTTGTTTTCCAAAAAATACTTAGGAATTGCATTAAACACCTGAGACCTGTTAGGCCCTACAGAACAGAAAGAAAGCGAGGAAAGTGATGCGCTAAGTCTGGTGTTTCTAAATAGGACAAAATGCGGCAAAAATTGTTGAACAAATTTATCGCGACGTTCCGCATTTAGTTGGTTTTGTGTCCAACCAGAGGCTTGACAGAAACCTTGAGTCAACACACCCTACGGTAGTTACAGAACACGCCTCCTCCTTGGAATCTTGGTCGTGATCAACAGCGTCTGCTGCCTCCTCCGCAAACTCACCAAGTTCCTGCTACAAAAATCATCACAAGATCTGAAACAATCTATCTACGATCTATAGGAGCAAGAAGCAACTAAGGGCTTCTGGCCTTACTACTAGGAGCAAGGACGCTACTAGGGGCTCCTGGCATCGCTATTAGTAGCTAATGTACTATAAGAGAGATGAGAATACTGTTCCGGGTCGAAGCTCGGTAGTTCGGAAAAAGCGAGTGACACAAGGTTGCAAACCTTGCAATCATCAAATACAACTGCCACTGACTAAAAGCGACTAAAACCGACAGTTGGGATAGGAACAGGTAAAACACCTCAGGTCAACATAACCAAAAAAGTAACCGGAACCAAACACCAAGTGCTATTAGGTTGGAGGCCATCCCTACTAGTTTGAAGGCCATCGCTACTAGGTTGGAGGACATCACTAGTAGGTTGGAGGCC